ATGACAAACTTTGAAAATAGCCATATTAAATGTCCCCGATGGCTTCCTCTGATTTTCTCTACAATTCATCCCTCACCTGACTGAAAAGAAAGTCGTCCTTATCACTTGAAATTATGATTGTTTCTTTGTGTTGATTCAATAAAACTTGTGGCAACATACTGGTACTTGCACAGCAGTAGTAGTTTAGGGAGCTGACGCTAGAGACCGTTACAATAGTATTTTTACAAGACAGGTTAGGTAACTGATTTTAGAGTTGAATAAAGAACATGCGTAAAAATATCCAACTGAAGCAAAGGATGCGATTTTTTAAATAAAAGCTCAAGTCACCTGTGTTAACGTTTTTAAGGACTATTAATTAGATACTAAGTACTAGATCATATGAGAAGAACGATAATAATGGGTCGCCTGCCAGCTATCTTTGCTGTTGATATAATTCAATATAGGGACGTGGACTTATGGAGGACAAACGCAGGTTTGTTTTACACCTACAGATGCATTTTGAATCCGTGGTGCGAACAAAATAAGCGCTTAAAATGTATAGTGATAAAAATAGTTAGGGCGTAATTACTTCTTCAAACTTGTAACCTTTTTGCATTTGTTGCCGGAGTCTGTTTCTCCCATTATTAACAACAAGTAGTATAATACCATTACCCGGCACATTATGAAACATGTAGCACTGTTCTGTTCTCATCTTGCGTCTATAAGAGACGTGCAAATCGATTAAGTTCCAATCGTAAGAGTTACAAGTACAGAAATATAATTACGAAACCTTTCGATTACGAATAACCCTTGTCAAATGGTAGAATTACCGTCATGGTGCATCATTACATGAAAAAGGATAAGTAGGGGAGACCGGGGCTAGTTGGACCCCGGGGTAAGTTGGCCCCCATCAAGTCTCTTTGATAAAGTTACTTTAAGATGCTAAATCATTTCATTTGGACTCACTTTCTTAGCACGGTCACTTTACAAAATGATGTGATCAATTCTTTTACCCCATAGTTACTTTGTCATAAATTGATGGGGGGCCAACTTAGGCCTACCCCGGGGTCCAACTAGCCCCGGTGGTCTCCCCTATTTAAATTGATACATAACAAATATAGGCCTATTAATGAGTGTCTGCACTTTTCATGAACTTATGAATTAATTAACTTAACATATTCTCGTTTTCGTTCGGAAGATAAAGTGAGTAGGCCTACGTTTATTGATTTACCGGCTCTATAATATTATTTTACACAAATGTAACTGCAGATGGGTAATATAGTGCTGAGCACTATAAAATTTCAACAAACACACACGTTCCTTGAGCAACATATTGCAACATGAAGCGAAGCAGTAATTCTTTTTTGTATCTCTTCGTCCTTAGGCCTACAGTATGACATAAACATATCTGATGTGCTAAACAAAAGACGAAATATTCAGTTTCATGCAAAAAGACACAGCGTGTTTACAAACGAAGCCAAGAGTTTTGTTATGGCTAAGATGTACATGTAAGACTCACTCACAACAGATAAATGTGTGTGGACATCAAAGATGATTTTATTGCACGCTTCGATTTATCCTGCGTATGCTGCAAGGCTCTAACCCAGGTACATATATATATATGTTTGAAGCATATGACTTTGTTTACACGACTGCAATCTTGATATACTATAGTATACATGAGCAAAGCAAGTTCAAACAAAATAGCGTTCCGCTGATCATAATTATTATATAGAAAACGCCCTTGTACAGTTTGTCCTTCACAGAAACATTCCACTTTATCGCGGTCTTCCTGAACACTGTCACCACACAAAAGCGTGCATCAACTTTACAATAAGTGTAAATTTACAGTTTATGATCGTTTCTTAAATGAATGAACCATTATATATGTATCCCTAGTTTTATAGGTATGTACATTTTTGTAACTAACAATTTTTTACATGATTTTTACATAATCGAAGATAATTAATATTCTAACCGCCCCTCTGTAACTTCCAAGGGCTATATACACATGTATATGGAATATAATTCTAATCCTCATCCAGTTATACCACATCAAGCAGCATCCTACGCATGCAGAGTTATGAGGACCGAAAATTAACAATACTAAACAACAAATATATAGCAGATAAACAAAAATTTAAAAATAAATAAATAAACACAATCTATACAGCCTTTTTAATAGTCCATTCAAACTCTCGTCCATCGAAGCAAACCCTTGAATATCGTTTTGTAAGTAAATTACAATACTTTGCGCGAATGTAAAATATCAAAATAATTTACGTATTCACATTTTATAATCAAATCATGAAGACCTCTGCCGCAAAAGTTTTTTAATTAACATGTTTGCTTGATGTTCATTTTTGTGGTCAGCTGTGAGAGTATTTAATACTGTGCGTGCGTTCGTGTGTCTGTATGTTTCTGTTTAAAAGTAATTAAGAGATAAAAACAAAGGGGTCGCTTGTACCAGGATATATATATATATATATATATATATATATATATATATATATATATATATATATATATATATATATATATTATGTGGCAGACGTTCGGCAGAACTTCTAAGGCATGATATTACATTAATCCAGTACGACGCAAGTTGATATCTACCAGAATCTGCAACACATTTTCAATGATTGTTTTCATCAAATCAACATTTATCGCACACGAAACGTGCGTATAGAGGCTTTTTCCAGGTGGGGCACGTCTGTAAAATTCGTCCTTAATAAACCCCAGCGCGTCATCCGGCGTGTTGTGGCCTGCAATGATAGAACCANATAAATGCCAGTGCTATTCAAGGATATTATAACACAATATCTTAAAGGAGGTATGTTGTTTCCAAATTTTTGTTGTTTATGCTCTCATTTACCGAGTTTTAGTTGAGCTTGCCGACTTAAGTCTCCTCCCGAGGAGGCTTGGCATCGTCGACTTACAGCTAAGAAAAAAACGACGTAAGCGACCTTTTAGATTCTTTGTGAAACGGAACTTAGTGACGTAACGACTTAATTACGTTGGTAACCAAGCCCTAAGTCAGGGAAACCGACTTAAGTTTTTTTGTGAAACGGGGGCTTGATCTAAACTCGCCCTTCAACAAGAAATCGACACCTTCTAAAAATCAACGAAAGCCGAAAGTACGTGATTTTTTTTTTTCATTTTTCGCTATTTTCCCGCCATACTTTGCGTTGTCACGTAAGTTGTAGCGTCTGATACAAAGTATCAAACACAACAATTGAACTTTTGTATTCGACCAGGGATCGAGATGTTGTATAGAAGAAGTTAACTGAACAGAAATAATGTTTACTTACTTACTTTTCTGTACTTTATGTTCTTGTCGACGTCCTACCGTACTTGGCGCATACTTTCGATCGTATGGGTACCTCAAATTTCATTTCTAATTATTGTCACCGGTGTTAAGTTGCAAGTTCAAATGAAACTAAAAATGTCAAATACATCTGCTTTTATGTTCTAAATCTTTAAAATTCCAACAGGTGCCGTGTCCTTTGCTGGCTGATTTTCCTGGCTGATTGATGTTTTTTTTCACATGCATATAATTCTCTACTCTGGATGTTTATCACCTGCGTAGCATCGACGTAGTAGGGACCTATCCCTACAGGTTTGAACGAGTGGTTTCAAACTTGGTGATAATGACAAACTTTGAAAATAGCCATATTAAATGTCCCCGATGGCTTCCTCTGATTTTCTCTACAATTCATCCCTCACCTGACTGAAAAGAAAGTCGTCCTTATCACTTGAAATTATGATTGTTTCTTTGTGTTGATTCAATAAAACTTGTGGCAACATACTGGTACTTGCACAGCAGTAGTAGTTTAGGGAGCTGACGCTAGAGACCGTTACAATAGTATTTTTACAAGACAGGTTAGGTAACTGATTTTAGAGTTGAATAAAGAACATGCGTAAAAATATCCAACTGAAGCAAAGGATGCGATTTTTTAAATAAAAGCTCAAGTCACCTGTGTTAACGTTTTTAAGGACTATTAATTAGATACTAAGTACTAGATCATATGAGAAGAACGATAATAATGGGTCGCTTGCCAGCTATCTTTGCTGTTGATATAATTCAATATAGGGACGTGGACTTATGGAGGACAAACGCAGGTTTGTTTTACACCTACAGATGCATTTTGAATCCGTGGTGCGAACAAAATAAGCGCTTAAAATGTATAGTGATAAAAATAGTTAGGGCGTAATTACTTCTTCAAACTTGTAACCTTTTTGCATTTGTTGCCGGAGTCTGTTTCTCCCATTATTAACAACAAGTAGTATAGGCTAATACCACTACCCGGCACATTACGAAACATGTAGCACTGTTCTGTTCTCATCTTGCGTCTATAAGAGACGTGCAAATCGATTAAGTACCAATCGTAAGAGTTACAAGTACAGAAATATAATTACGAAGCCTTTCTATTACGAATAACCCTTGTCAAATGGTAGAATTACCGTCATGGTGCATCATTACATGAAAAAGGATAAGTAGGGGAGACCGGGGCTAGTTGGACCCCGGGGTAAGTTGGCCCCCATCAAGTCTCTTTGATAAAGTTACTTTAAGATGCTAAATCATTTCATTTGGACTCACTTTCTTAGCACGGTCACTTTACAAAATGATGTGATCAATTCTTTTACCCCATAGTTACTTTGTCATAAATTGATGGGGGGCCAACTTAGGCCTACCCCGGGGTCCAACTAGCCCCGGTGGTCTCCCCTTTTTAGATTGATACATAACAAATATAGGCCTATTAATGAGTGTCTGCACTTTTCATGAACTTATGAATTAATTTTAAGAAATAACTTAACATATTCTCGTTTTCGTTCGGAAGATAAAGTGAGTACGTTTATTGATTTACCGGCTCTATAATATTATTTTACACAAATGTAACTGCAGATGGGTAATATAGTGCTGAGCACTATAAAATTTCAACAAACACACACGTTTCTTGAGCAACATATTGCAACATGAAGCGAAGCAGTAATTCTTTTTTGTATCTCTTCGTCCCTAGGCCTATCTGATGTGCTAAACAAAAGACGAAATATTCAGTTTCATGCAAAAAGACACAGCGTGTTTACAAACGAAGCCAAGAGTTTTGTTATGGCTAAGATGTACATGTAAGACTCACTCACAACAGATAAATCTCCGAAATGTGTGTGGACATCAAAGACGATTTTATTGCACGCTTCGATTTATCCTGCGTATGCTGCAAGGCTCTAACCCAGGTACATATATATATATATATTTGAAGCATATGACTTTGTTTACACAACTGCAATCTTGATATACTATAGTATACATGAGCAAAGCAAGTTCAAACAAAATAGCGTTCCGCTGATCATTATTATTATATAGAAAACGCCCTTGTACAGTTTGTCCTTCACAGAAACATTCCACTTTATCGCGGTCTTCCTGAACACTGTCACCACACAAAAGCGTGCATCAACTTTACAATAAGTGTAAATTTACAGTTTATGATCGTTTCTTAAATGAATGAACCATTGTATATGTATCCCTAGTTTTATAGGTATGTACATTTTTGTAACTAACAATTTTTTTTACATGATTTTTACATAATCGAAGATAATTAATATTCTAACCGCCCCTCTGTAACTTCCAAGGGCTATATATACATGTATATGGAATATAATTCTAATCCTCATCCAGTTATACCACATCAAGCAGCATCCTACGCATGCAGAGTTATGAGGACCGAAAATTAACAATACTAAACAACAAATATATAGCAGATAAACAAAAATTAAAAATAAATAAATAAATAAATAAAGACAATCTATACAGCCTTTTTAATAGTCCATTCAAGCTCTCGTCCATCGAAGCAAACCCTTGAATACCGTTTTGTAAGTAAATTACAATACTTTGCGCGAATGTAAAATATCAAAATAATTTACGTATTCACATTTTATAATCAAATCATGAAGACCTCTGCCGCAAAAGTTTTTTTAATTAACATGTTTGCTTGATGTTCATTTTTGTGTTCGGCTGTGAGAGTATTTAATACTGTGCGTGCATTCGTGTGTCTGTATGTTTCTGTTTAAAAGTAATTAAGAGATAAAAACAAAGGGGTCGCTTGTACCAGGATATATATATATACCCTGTATATATAATGTGGCAGACGTTCGGCAGAACTTCTAAGCCATGATATTACATTAATCCAGTACGACGCAAGTTGATATCTACCAGAATCTGCAACACATTTTCAATGATTGTTTTCATCAAATCAACATTTATCGCACACGAAACGTGCGTATAGAGGCTTTTTCCAGGTGGGGCACGTCTGTAAAATTCGTCCTTAATAAACCCCAGCGCGTCATCCGGCGTGTTGTGGCCTGCAATGATAGAACCAAATGATTTCTACAAATGCCTTGTTTCCAGACTACAAAGATGAATTGAAGGTAAAAATAGATTACATGCAATAGAAACAATCCGAGATAAGCTAAAACGAGACTCTCAGCACTGCGTGAGAAGGCATACGAAAATAATGAATGTGCAAGAATCAGCATGAGGTGGGGTTAATATTGGAATTATAGAAAAAAATCACCCAGAAAATTATCCAACTTTTATTCGTTGCTTATTTCTGGCCCTATTCTCCTCAAAATCCCACGGACTCTCGCTTCTTCTTTTATCTCGGGTTATTCTTTTTAATCGGATAATTCAATATCAAAATAGTAACCTAGACGAGCAGTGTTATGGCGAGAATTCACATTGTTTTGTGCTTTCCAAGTGTCAGAAACATCAAATGAACTATGAATTTCTATTATTAGCTATGTCTCATACCTCTGAACTCCGGAAATGTTTCTGCCAAACGAAATCTCTTCATTTTCTCCATGAACAAATCGTGCTTGTTGAGAAATAACATAACATCTGTTTTCGTCAAGTACTGATTGTGTGTCATTTCCTGAAACGTCTGCAAACTGTCTCGAAGATTGTTCTGAAAAAAAAAATGAATATTTTTTTCCGCAAAGAAGAAAAGAACTTAAATGCTAGTATTAAAATGGTGTAGATTCACTTTTTAAATGTTAAAATAAGGAAAACTGTGATGTATGTTTCAGGACAAACAAAAAGGGAGCATTTATTATGCCAACGTTTTTCTTAATTAAGCCTCCGTCACACTTATTCGGTATTTTAAAAGGATTCAAGCAATTATGCCTAAAATGTCACTTACATTAATAGAATAGTACAAAATACTTTTTAGAGCGGAGCACATGCATACACATTTAAAAAAACATTAGATACGAAGTTAACAAAGTTAATTATTTTTGTCAAAGTTATCGTGATGATACATAGACGTCAATGTTTAGTTCCTTTTTATCTGTTTAACTTCGGCTGGTTGCCTTGGTCCGTGATTTTATGAAAAATAACGTTCTTTACACGGGCGTGAAAATAGACTGCGTGACGTGGGTGTTAACGTGATACTAACGCGGCAAGACAATGTTGCCAGCGCTGTCGACAGTTGGTTAAATAAAATGAATGCCGCGATGTACTTTGTTACCAAACAAAATAATGATTAACACAGAGTAAACCAGAAATTGTTAGAATAAACGCAATTCAAACTTTCGCACAGTCTCAACAACCACAATGTTTGCCAAACGAGATTACATTAAGGTAACCACATCATTAACTTTTCATATTCTGCCATTAATTATCCTACCATAAAGTTACATGTATAAAACATTATTTATTTACCATAGTGCTGTCCTCTTCTAACATTTCATTGAAACCACTGAGCGACACGAAAAAGATGACAGCCGTGACGCCCTCGAAAAAATGGATCCATTTATTCCTTTGACTCTTCTGGCCGGCTACATCTATCACCCTGAAATGAGAGGCACAGATCACAGAATCAAACAGCTTCCTGTAGGTCACAGGACAATTTCACAATTCTCAGCAATGTACCAACGTATAAGCAAAAACAAGTACCGATTTTTTATTTATCGTGAATAAATTAAAAACTCTCAGTTATGTTAATCATTTTCTGCAGGACCCATTGCTCTATTCCCAAATATGTGTTCCTCATTTTTCTAAATTAAACACGAACCTTTTTCGAAGAAACGGTAATTAATAAGATGCCAAACGGTTTGAAGGTGTTGGAGGAGTTTTTATATATTTATTTATTATATTTTGTAGCAACGGCATAAGGAAACGAATCATTTATAATACTGATGGTTCAGTCTAATATTTAATGTCCATTGGAGTAGAAATCATATTTGGGGGTGATGAGTGATTGATCAATTGCAATAATCAGAAAGGGTTAATGGCATGTGTGAGTGTCTCTGGTAAAACAACTATAGCCACTTAACATACGAAAATATCAAGGAAACCAGACAATACATCACAACTTGGCTGTTGAAATTATCCTCAAGGAATCTCCACATATCACGTCTTAGTATAAATTTGATTACTGGCTACTGAGAAAGATATAGCTTTGCATTTCCTCTCCGAGTGAAAGTGTTTTGTTTTGATAGATAAAACGCTGCGTGGCCTCTGGTGAACCAATACTAGGTGATTCTCCGTCACGGTTCGTCCGCACTGTGGGAAAACTAGCAGTGATTAGGGCCGGTTGAAAAATCGATAATGTTTTCTCGTGTTAGGAGATTACGTTTCCCTGGTTTCCTGTTAAGCATCTTTGTTTTTATTTGTATGAAAAGGGTATAAGTGAGACACCCGTTGTTTATTCTAGATCGTATCTAGATCAGCTGTTTGTAGGCAGCAACAGCAATGAGACAAGAAACCGATACATATTGAATACATAAGCTTGTTCATTATTAAAAAAACATTTCTCATAAATACGATCGTTTGGTGATAACATTAGGAACGAATTAATAAACCACTTTCCAAAATATAAGAAGTGATAGAAGTTAGAACAGTTTCGTCCAAAAAGATTTCCAGTAGTCTCCGTTGAGTAAATCGACGTTATCTTTCTAAGACCCACCAAACAAACTTGTTTATTGGTTCCTAGCTTAATTGCAGTGGTACAGTGTACAAAAATGCAGCATGTTTTAATATCAGGCTTCATTTTCTGAACAGAATAGAAAGGTACAATGGCTTACTACACGAATTTTGCCTAGCCAAACGTAACACGATAAACCACATCCCCGCTGTTTAATTTTTTTCTTTTCAACTGGTTTTAGATTACTGGGGCTGCAATGCTTCATAGGGGATATAAAGGAAGGGAAAGTATTGATTAAGTACCCATCTTGACGTGGTGTACGAAGTTGGTGCAATTCCAAACGAATTCCTACTGGGGACTAAAAAGACCTACCTGTAGTTAAGGCTGTTGATTGTCAAACACATCTCTTGCACGCCGACAGTTGGCTTCCTCAGGAACAGGATATCTTTGATTGTAGGCAGGTATGAGGGTGCGCAGATACGCTCAAAGTCGTTAAGGAAACTGAAAGAACGCAAGATGAACTGGGTCAGATTAAAAACACATTGTTCACAAACAGGTGCTAATCTTAATTGGTCGTTGCTTTATTTGAATGATAGTTGGCAGCGTCTGAAATTCAGTTTTTAAATATTGAAAAATATATCCGAAATATTTATACGTATTCACATTTTCATATTTGTCAAAACGAAAAAAGTATTCTGACTCCAAACCTAGAATAAATTTATTCAGTGAAGCTGCTAAGATCCTTTTGTAATGTTCCTGTTCACAAAGACACACGAACCAACGCATTTTAAATCCCTTTACTGACAACTTTTAGTATGTATCTTTTGGTAAGTATGATGTATAAATCTGTTTTGTGTGCTATAGCTCCGCGAGACAGAAAAAAATCTGCACGATCTTAACTTTTGTCTGCGGCAATAACATTCAGGTTAACAACGTAAAATATTTCCCGGGTTTCTAAACTTGTATATCAAATTTAAACGCATCCCAGCATATTAATCATTAGTATATATTTACATTAATAATACCTGTGATAGCATTGTAAAATACAAACTTTGCAATTGTTTCTTTAAAATAAAATGGACGTGTAATGTAAACTAACGTCAGTTGTAAGTAATTGATTCTCATTCCAGTGGTTTTTAAGACTCAGTGACGCAAAGAAACCTTTAAAACTGCGGCCATTACCACATTTAATTCATTGCTCCCTTGTAACACTTTAACTGGGAATGAGGGCATTGATTTATCTACAAGCAATTTGCAGAAATCATCTGACATATTGGGTTTTTATGTTAATCCCTTGGAAAAACAACCTGGTTTCAACAGAGCACTCTTTGCAAATTCCTTTAAATGAGATCCAGGGTCTTCATTCTTTTTCTCCAAAAAAACAAAATTTTCTTGTCGTTGACATTCAGCGATAGCGAAGGTAATACTTTCCTATCTTTATATAAAGGTCTACAGTTGAAGTAAACATGTTACATCTTAAACAAGAAAAGGTATACGTTTAACACGAATACCTAATTGTCTAAAGAGGAAGATTACTTACTACTCTTCTGCCTCTGACAGCCGCAGAGGGTATCTGTTCCTTGTAGCGTAGCTCGCTTTCACTCCAGGGTCTTTCTGTAGCTTAATTACCTCTGACGGAAGATCTAGTAACAACTGGTCTCTGTTCTTTTTTGGGCTGGCATGGATTCCGTTTTCAAGGGCTAGGAGACGCTGGTAGCACATCTTTGGATAGAGTCTATTTAGTTCCTGTGCACTCGCCTAAACACATATCGTAATAAATTATAAATCTCAAAACAATTTCAAAGCAATCAAACACTATCCAGAATGTTCATACCTGATTACTGAGGAGAGTCATATCTTGTTCGTTTCACATTTTAACTAATAGACAGCTTTTTTACTGCCGAGTGCAACGGCAATTTGTGTTCTAACCCCCAAAACAACAGCGAAAAGGCCTACGCCATGGGTATACCCTTACTTTGCCTTCGTCTGATTTGATTTCTTCGCCAAGAACTTCCATGTTACTAATTATTCTGTGGAAAGCATCGACAACATTTTGGAATACATGAGGCCTCCATAGCCGCCTTTCTTCATCAGGAAATTTGTCTCCATAATGCAGCCGCAATTGCTTCATGAAAGTGGTCTTTCCAGAGCCACCGCCACCTAAAAAGAGAAGGGTATTGATATCTTAAAGATTTAAAACAAAGTACTCTAGTTTTCAGAAATATAGTACGAAAATATTTTGGTGCTTTTTGACCCACCAAAAATACCCATTCTTAAACTTGTTACTGTTATTGAAAGGTGTCTTAGCTAGTGGTTATTGAATAGGAAGGAATTTCTTAGTAAAAGGCAAACGTATCATCAACTAAATTAGCTTACTAAAATTGGCCTTAAGCTGAAAAATGTGACATTTGTTTGGACAAAAGATTCAACAGTCCAGAGGGAAGGTCATCATTCAAGTAACTGCACGAAGCACGGTATGGCCGCACTGCGTTTTTTAAATGTGAACTTTAGCATATTAAAGAGACATTACGGAAACTAAACTTTTCTGTGTGTCAAATGAAAAGACTATTACAAAAAGCAAAATTTGTGAAATATACTCTTAGTTATATCGAACTGAGATTTTTGTGTATTTGTTTCTTTGCTTTTATTATTTTAGATATAGTGTCGGTATACTTCACAGTCAGAGAAAATACCATGTAGCAGCATTTTGTTAAATTTTACAGAATCAAACGAATACATTTCTTTTTGAGAAATAGGCATCTGTATCTGTACATAACACGCCACAGGTCTGTGGGACATGCGGACAGGAACTATGGTGGAGAAATATGCTAGTGCCTTTCACTGGGTCCACATATATGTATCTCGAGCTCGTCATGCAACCGCGTTGCGTGTGACAGCAATTATCTAAAAAAACACGTGGTACCAACTAGATAAGCAGAACATTCTAGCAGAGCATGTGCAACACGGATTATATTGCTTGCAAATGGAGTTGACTCAATAAAGTCGCAACCCTGTATACTGGCTGTATAAATTTAAGGACCACAGTATTGCACCCGAGCGCCTAATCTGATGATTCAAAGGAAGGCACTAATTAACATGCAGGATTATGTTGCACAAGACATGGTTCAATGAAATAGAAATAGATAAATATGTTTGACGGGTGTAATCTCTGAACAACTCTTATTGCTATGACAATTACGCGGTTTAAGTGGTGGATTGTTATACAATATTGACATTTTTCATAGAAGCGAAAGTGAAAAACACACAAAGTGATCATAATTGCTTGCATCAAACCAGCATCATTTTGTGCTAAATAGCAAAACAGAGGTTTTGGATTTTGATGGACTTGTCGACGCTTTTCATTATGTGCTGGATGTTAACTAGAGCTGCACACGTGATTTTAATTCCGCGAATCCCCATTATCATCAATATATCCAAAGCAACCTCGTGTCACATTAAAACAATTGCTCAATATTTCCATTGTACCCCTCCACTTTCATTATCGATTGATTGCATCAACATTCAGACATTCCGAGACGAGTTCCATTAATCCTCAAATAGCCAAAATTAGAGAATCGATACCCAGGCTCTTTGCGAACACATTAAACAGCACGGCATATCTTCAACCGTTGGGTGTCATAATTTGTGATTTATTTCACTTTTTCGAAGCAAGTTATTCACACATTTGACGATAGCAAACACACCGGAGTTCAATAATACTCCCAGTATACTATGTCTCTTGGCACTATTTTCATTTACTATTCTCCTCTTGTTTTCGCCTCACAGACATCAATAGCTCTGCATGCTTACTTACATTTGAAGTAAATATATCGTGTAACTGGCGGATCAATTGATATATAGTAAAGAAAAGTGGACGTAAAAATGATACAAAGAGAAAAAAATGAAAGTGGCTGAACTTATCAGACCTGCACGCTTAAATAACCTCTTGAAAACCGGACGCGCGCGCGCGCGCGCTCTTGTTAAGAATGATGGAATATTTCGGTTATTAGACATATATAACGATTATTTCAAAGTTCACAGTGATAATTGTCACAAAACTTTCGATAAAGCTGGCTGTAGCAATGACCTACAAACAATTTTCTAATTACGACAGTTGGAAAAAATATCATCGATCAATGACAAAAGTTGGCTAGAGTTTGGTACATTGTATATTGCAGAATGGCAGACCACGTGTACACTTACGACCCAATCAATGGTGGTCGCGGTTTGAGGCCAATTTTGTTCCACACATTTGAAAAGAGCATTGCCTCGTCTTAAAACCGGAGGGAGAGCTTGGTTATTTTGTGGATGCAGTGTTCTGGGCACAAACAAAAAGACATTGCTGTTCGCATTGGAATCAATCAAGGAATTGTTTGTAAGACCATCCAGCTTGTATCGTACAAAGCAACAATAATGTCATATTAACATTATGAAATAAGCTAACGGTATGAAAATATTTCGGCTTGTGTATAATAATTTTCATTTATGAAAAATAGCAGGTTGTACATGTGGGGTAATGCCTGACCTGGTACTTTCGCTTACTTCATTTCCTGCAGGTGTAAAATCATTATAGCTTACTGTACAAACCTAATATGAGCAACTGGATTTCCTTCTCTCGCTTTTCTCTTTCTTCATTTAGCTGGTGGTCTATACTCCTGCTGCGCGCTATGGCGCCTTTTCGACTCATCTGAGTTACGTCGTCGCTCTGGAAGATATGAAAAGACCTTAGAAAATATCGCAGCAAAAAGTGCATGAACCTACCAATCGATCAATGATACCCAAATGCTACCTTGTCAAAAAGATTGTCCACTATCATCACCCTCTGTTTCAAATTGTTGACGATGGCGAAAATGAAGATGACGAAGATGAGAGGATGGGAGGCACCGTCAGTAGTCTGACAGTCAGGATGATAAACACGAGTGTTGTATTTAAAAGTAGCCATTTTAGTGGAAAGCAGGAGAAATAGCAGTGAACAGGAATATCGCAGTTGTAACTGGCATCTAGTTTTAAACATTGCATCATTAGTTTTATTTGCCTTTCTACGCCGCAATGAAAATTACAATCTCAAGTTGTTTATGGGACTTAAAAGTAGATTGGGGTGAGGTGAAAGTGACATCCTTAAGGATATTGTCACCCTTCGCCCAAATCTCCTTATTTAGTATCTTACATACATTCTTTTGTGTAATAAATAAATCTTCAGTGTTCAATGACTAAATTAATCAGCATTTACACATATGTCATCTTACGGGTGACGTCATGATTGTGATTTTGGGGTAAAAACTGAAAAATCGGTTTCTCAAATTTCTCTTTTATCTGTGCACCCACGATCACCGTTCTAATGACACCATTTAGTACTCCAAACACTGGCAGCAATTTTTTTAAAGTCTTTGTGCTGATTTTATCGTTGATAAAGCAAAATAATGCCTATGTTTACTGAAAATATGTGATAAGGGACTCATAACTCCATAACAAAAATTTGTTAACCAAAATGAGGCAGGGGATTGTAGCCTATACTCTCCTGGTCAACTCTGCCAATTTTCGTGCATGTGTGCGTGTGTGTGTGTGTGTGTGTGTGCACTGGCTAGACAATTTTAGGAGCTCAGAAAGTGCACCACCAAGGTTTGTGGACTAAGGAAGAAGGAGAATTTTGATTTTCTATTGTACTTTATACTTATGATACATCAAATGCGAATTTTGTGGACGTTAAATCTCCAGTTGGTTAGATGAAATACATTTTGTCTGCATTTGATGTTTGGCAGTACATGTACGTGGACTGGAGCTATATGCTTAACCCCATCATGCTAATGGCCCATCATACAACATGTGATAGTGACTTACTGCCACAGTGCTCTGTCTGCAGATGTTTTTCTCTAATTAAAATACGCTATCAGCTAATTCACTGTTTGCGTGTTACTCCGAAGGGAAACGTAATACAGAAAGAACTACCAATTGGAAATATCTATTCAGAAACTCTGATGGAATTGAAAAGACAATACTAAGAATAAAGCATTGTCCGGTGTCTATAGTAATGTCGCCTGGAAATGAAAAAAAAATTGTGGGAAATGACCTCAGGATAATTTCATGAAAAAAGTCGATGATTATTACAACATACAGTATATCGACAAATTAATGAAAATTAAACACCATGCAAGAAAGGTTCGATTAGAAATACATCAAAAAATGTCGATAATGTGAATAATGGAAAACTGAATGAAGAGATCGCTGCTTGTGTCATTTGAATAAAACCCTCGTAAAAAAACCTTAATATCCATTAAGTTATAATAACAAACAAGCAGATGCCAAATATATATAAAATTCTGCCACTTGGAATTGGAAAAAGTCCAACATTATTCCATATGCGCGCTATAACATGATCATTTTCAATTGGTGATTGGTATCCGTCAATTAATTTATTTATGACGCCATCGATAAAAATCAGTTGTCAGTGTCCGTATGTCGTCTTTTAATTGATAACAATAATAAACGCACGGGAGATTACTTTACAAATTGTCGCACTGATTCACAAAAGAACCAAAGCGGACGATATATCGGTCTCCCATTTAGCTGCTCAGAGGTTTGGTTTTCAAATCTACAAGTTCAGTTCACTTTTTACTGGGTTCAAATGTTTCTGTTATTTCCTGGCAATAGTGCACTGAAACTTAAACGCTGTGATTGTCTTTTGTTTCCTAAATATTTATTTTGTATGGAAATAATACAAAGCTTAGTCAATCAAAATCTCATTAGCTATAGCACTTTGCATTGATCCGGAGTACGACGTAATATGACTCTGAGCCAAGCGCCTTTTCAATATTAGTTGAGAGTATATATTTATTTAAATATACCGAGTATTTGTCAACATTTAAATACATAGGTGTTAATTTTAATCACATGGTGACAAAAGTCATATAATAATATATAGTCATATAATGTGTTTAAGTAGTGCAAAACAGTTGCTTCACGACATTTACCAATGAAATTGCTCACAAAGCAAGCACTTGTGAACTATAGTACAATTGATCTAACGAATATCATTGTGTCACTCTTAACAAATAACCCTCAACCCTAAAATCTCCAGCACTCATAAGGCTTGTCTGTCAGCACATGGTCATTTGACAGTAATTCTAGAGCCTCCCTCAATTTCCTACCCACAGCCCCGGCCAGTCAATGGGGGATTTTACATGTTTTCAAACCCTCACAAAATCCAATGTGTTGCTTGATTAATTTTTCAGGCACCCACAAAGTAAACAATACATACTGGTCTGGATGATACTTTGGAGAAGTCGTCACTTAGTACCAGTTCACGCGATTTGATGAGATTATACCCAAAGTTCAAAAATAAATACAGTGTTTTCTCAAAACTTCAGGTCTTTTTTTCACAATATAAACAATAAACATGAACCTTATGAAAACCAATATGCTTCATCCCAGATCTACATGCATTACCAGTCTACAAAAAAATTTTGAAACAAAAATCTTAAAATGTGGCCTCTAGCTCAGAACAAAAAATATGAGCACAAACAAGCAAAAATAAATAAAATTTAAAAAATAATATATTTGCATTTTTTCGCAAGTAAAAATTTGCTTCCACTTGATAGAGCATGCTGGATACCAACTCTGATATAGCTCTGATAAAACTCTGATAACTGGTATCACGGGCTGTCCTGAAGGTCTTCTGTGTTCCATTTCTGGTACAGATGCATTATCGCGTCTTTTATTATCCGTGATAACTAAGTCTAGAATAAACCAAGATGCGCAGAGTACGGTGATACGCGTGTTATGAAATACAAGGTACTATTTTTACAACAAATTATGTAAGTAGAGGGATACATTGAGTAGATATTTGATGCTCATTTTGTGGTCTAAAATCGATAATGGTACAAAATAAACGAAGTTATGACTGTGGTATTGTTTCGCAGATAACGTTATTTGCAACGTTAAGGGAAATCCTTGTTTTGATTTGTCACTTATGCATTGCTATACGGTTTCTTGCATGGAAACTAGTCAACATAATGTTAAATAATTCAAATAAGTTGATAAAACTGAGCATCAAATGGCATGAGTTATTTTTAATTAAAAAGAAAACGCACATCGGTATTCTAATTAACAAAAACTCGAGATTTATTTCATGCCTTTTCCAGTTAGAGTCGTTGTTTTGCTGTTTTCCAGCCTCAACCCGATTAACGGAAAGTCATAACGGATGTAGACCTATTGGATGTACATGTACTGGATGTATTGGAGCACCATGCTCTCGTTAGGCTAAAAAATAGAAACGCGTAATAATATATAAATACGGTATAGGCAATTTTGTTTATCATCAGTGATAATTTTAAAGCCTCCTCGTGCCCTAATATCGAGCAATATTTCTCTGACAATCAATTTGTAGAATCATTTTAAGAAGAGATGTCAATGTACGTGATGGTTTTATCTAATCAGCAGGAGTACCGCCAAACTAAATGTTATTAGTATATGGGAATGAGTAGTAAAGTTTCGGGAAATTTTATTCTTGCAACATTTTCCTTGCATTCTTGCTTAAATTACAGCTTACATTCAATTAAACAATATTTAAAATGTTTATTGAATCCCCACATCTTATTGCAAACAACCTGTTTCACAGAAAGGCTTTATGCTTGAAGTAATTTATTTTATAAATTAGATTTTATTGTTTTGTATACACATGTTTATTTATCACTACATATATTACTTTATGTGGTAGAATCTGTAAAATTTGGTTTGTAAAATTAATTTCCCGATTAATTAAGCTTAGTGTGTATAATACAAAGAGTTTATACAGATACGTATATCTCACATTTCCTGAGAATAATTAGTATGGCATTGTCATAGTCAAAATGCTTTCAGCAGCAGATATATCCATGCAATCTTTTTCTCTACTGAATAACGCTCATGTTTTATTTGGGAGTGCTTTGTATGTGATATGTTTGTGTAATATGTTAATGTGTTATATAGTTAGCTATATGAGTATATAAATCCCGTTTGAAAGAGAAACATCTACTTTGTGGCAGTTATATTCATGGCGGCTCTTCTGTACAGATACACCTACAAATTTCATAGTTATTTTCCCATGAAACTATTCAAATTGACTTGATGACAAGATAACTTAGGTTACGCGGCTATATTCCACTTTAAAAAATTAAAAACTGGAAACGTGTCCATTTTTCTTTGTTATCATTATAGGACATTTACAAAAAAAACTTTGCTGACACAAAAATATTTTCTTTAATTCCTAATATTTTCTTCGTCGTAACTGATGTTGTTTTGCACTGCAAAATGGACACAAACAATTACACATAGCAATACTGTAGACATACTTCACCTAAGAAACTGCTTTTCGCCCAGAAACAAATAAATCAATCATTTTTGTGCGACGCCATGCGTGGAAAAACATTAATCAATATATCAAGTTACCTCTTGATAGTAGTTAACAAATCCGTGGAGAAATTTCAGCAAGACTACACATGGCACATGGATCATCAATTTATCATCGTTATGCCCCGTGTTTTATAAACCGAGTATTGTCACATCATACTTCACACACAGATTTTCTCAGTCGTTAACATTTTGAACTTATCTATTTCATTAACTGATGGGTGCGTGGCACACTAGTTTATGTTCCCACCTCAAAGCAAGCACGCCGCAACGACCTCTTGCATTCATTAAATATATGGCTCTTTAAAGATAATATTCACAGTAATGAATAACTGTCGGCCTAATGGTTCACGCAGAAATTATTGCATGGAAACAGGGCGACTCTAGTTATAGCATATTTACCTTCTTATCTTCTCGTTGGGTACAAATAGAAAAGGCCATCGCCAAAGGAATATTATCCCCTCTGTTATGCCTGTGAAGTAACTCATAAACTAGACTTTTTTGCCGTCTCTGTTTCACGTATCATTCCATTTCAGCAAGTTTTGGAAATAATGAGAACGGAATCCAAATATATTACGGAAATATCTCGTCCGGCAACAGAGTGGGTATCGAATAAACTTCAAACTTATAATCGTAGGGGACTGTTTAGTAATCCGCTGGGAACGATAGCCCGCTTCTTATTACTTTGTGCAGGTGACACTTGTACCTTATGGCGACTCGATACTCCTGACTTATCATATGGGGCCCCGTATCGTACTTCAATTCCTAGGGCTACCATCCCTGGCAACGGTTTGACGTAAGGGCTTATGTTTGTTCATACGAGCAACGACATGGTGGAGTTTCAACGCTTATTCGCCGTACTCTTTCTTACAAGAAAAAACATTAGGACTTACAGTTAAATGTTGTTTTCTTTTGTTCTTACATCAAGTTCACCTCTTCTAATCAAATGATCTCTTTCAGCATCCATACTTGCCTTTTAAAACTTGATATTTGAAGATATATTTTCTATTACGTCACCTTTTTATTTCGCAAAATCCAGCTTGCAGCTGTTATCAGCATTATGGAAAATTAGTTTTGTTTGTGAATTCAACCAATCAAAGATAACCTCATGTGCGCACTGTACAATATTCAATTTTCACATTATTTGACTCTTGAAAAAACGTTAGTTGCGCTTGATTATATTCTAGCTTTTAATTAGTCATCCTATATTCAACCTGTTACTTTGCGATTAACAAAAAGGGAAGCCATTGTATTAAACTAAGTATACTATTCCTTTCGACAGGATTCGTACCTAAATTTAAAAACTATTCAACCTAGTTTAAGGTACAAAGGTGATGATAAATCAACCGTTCAGTTTAACAACTGAGGATATTGAGATGAATATATCTGTTAAGGGGCAATTTGAATACCCTCTGCAAGCGACATAAAATTGCAACTTTTAAACTACAACACCACCAACAACAAAAAGGCACCGTTTGTCTAAATCTTCTGTTTCAAATCACATAATGTACAAAAAACATCGTTCCTCGTGTCTCGACAAACATTTTGAATTGATGACTCATATTGGATTTTTCATTAAGAATAAACTGATAAAGCCAAATCATGATACGTACAGATAAAACAGTTGTTACTTCTTTTAAGACAATATATTCTTGACCTCAGTCTGTTCATACAAAAATATTTTTAAAAAAATACCAAACTTACAACATTCGATGTTTACTTTTTGATTTCTCAAGAGATGTCCACTGTAACTATACAAAACTAAATTGATACTTCTTCAATGCATTGCTTCCGTCACAAATTTTAAAACCGGTTTGATTCAACAACTTTCATCACATCCACGCAGTGCATCATATGTAAAGGATAGTCCAAAAATGAATAACATATTTTGTGACTCCCTGGATGATGGCAAGTTATCCTATGTTCGCAGCTCCTATCCTCTATGAGGAAGCAACTACCAATACCATTAAGGTCACCGAGGTACATGTCTCAATCTATAATTTGTAAACCACTGGATCACTTCATTGGAACCTGACTAGTCGAAAAATTGTGTAGTCAGATTGCCACGGAATGCAAGTAAAAGGGCAATTCTTCAGAAAGCTGGGAAGATATATCCTTGAGAAGGTCATGACATGTATCATAATATGTAGAGACTGAAAGCAGTGTACAAGTGTGCAGTGTGTGTGTGTGATTAATCACCTTTTCTCATATATTGCGTGCTAAAATCCAAAACATTGCAATTCAGGCATTGCTCTTGAATCAAAGCCTTGACGTGCTGGAGGCAATAGTATGAAGTGTCATTAAATGAAATTTTACAGAATTATAGTGAATATAATAAGAGGTTTAATATATGGTGTTTTTTTTGTCCATTTGAAGAATATGCCATTTCATTCTCTCTCTCTCAAAAAAAAAAAAAAAGTGAAAACAATCAAGCAAAGTGTCGGTTGTGATTGATATAATGTAGCACATCGGAGCTAAATCACCCCAGATGATAAAAGTCTTAATGTAGCTTGACAAAAAAGTAAGACTATTCCAACTGAACAGACTAAAGACGTTTCTGGACAATATGCCATAGTTTTATGACTTATCGTGATTTCTCCCTGAAGACAGCACACTAAATCACGAAGATGTGAGACTAAACCGAGATATGATTTCCCAGGTTGTATTTGTTGCTAATTCGGATACACAAAACTGTCACCTACTGAAACAGGGTTAAAGAGATTAAAATGGAAAAAATAATCCACGACCTAATGAGAGCGAAAACATTTTAAGACACTACACATGTAGCAGTTTTAAACCTTAGTTTTCTACCTTAGTAATATAAAATTAATTATCCAGCTTTCAAAATTACAGGTAGATCGCCATCTTGCGATGGCAAGGATTGATGCGTCCGCCATTCCTGATGCATGTAAATATATTTCATTATTTACTCTCAGTAAGAAAAGCAATTGATCGGACAGGGCAACTACCTCCAGATTATATCTAAATGTCTATTTAATTACTTGCAAATCCTCTTATACGATCCAATTAGTTCGCCATATTTAGATTTTCTCAAACAGTTTTCATAGACGACAAATTGTACTTACCATTCTTTGAGGTGTTCTTTTCAATACTGCAAGAACAATTCTAAACAAGTCTCCAGAGTTACTTTCTAAGGTATGCCTGTGTATGCGAGTTCGTTGTTCAGAAAAGATCACCTAGATCACCCATGCTATCTTCAGTTAGGCATATATTTTTCGCAAAGCCTTGTTAGTAGCGAGTCGGATATATTACTTATAATGTATGTAGAGGAAGAGTCCAGACCGTAATTTCCCCAGCAGCGTAAATGATTATGAAACGAGGTCGAATGCACTTAAATATTTTGTCAGTGAAGCTGCATGCAAATGCAGGACAGCAGCAAGAGCAATCAATATTACTACTGAACAGCTTTCCCTTTCCAGAAGGAGCTTATAAACCTCGGCATACGCTCTGACGGCGAAGAAAAGAGACATCAAGGTGACCGTTATTGTCTATCAATATTGATACATATTAAGCGCTCTGCCACATATTAACGGTAGTCGGCCTACTTAATGCGACCAGGTTCAAAACACCTTATAAATTTTCATAGTATGCTAAGCTGATATTTAAATTTCTGTCTGAAATGGCATCCAGAAAATACAACCAATTGAAAATGTATCATCGGATAAAACGACAGGAAAACAAACTTTTGCTAAGTACAATTCTTAAAGGTAATGGTATCATAAAACCCGCATCTGTGGACAGTTCACATGAAGTGTTTGAAGGCAAATCAAGCGATCCTAATACAGTAAAAATATGGTTAGTGTTAAGCCAAAGCTTCTCAAGACTGCTCAAATCCTCAAGATGAGATGACAGAGGTTGTCTGAGATTGACACTTGAATGACCTTTGAACTACTTGGTTGCCAACGGTACCGATATATGTGATCATATCTGTATTGAAACTGGTGACACCTGCATTCACATCGATGTTATTTATGGCCGTGTGTGAACAAAACACGTACATATCTTGATATTTTATACTTTCTGTCTTACTTTGTGGTTTCATTATGGTTAAAGCATGCACAGTTTCAAACACATATTCGTAATATTGATGACTGATTTCTCCAGTACGTTAATAAAAACAACATATCGGCGCCGATCGGTATATGTGTAACGGACTTATCATTCGAGCACAATTACCCAAGTATATAAACGTTGGGCAGTCAGCTGAAGATGGTGGCTTTTAGTTTCCCTTCTGTCTTGAAATCATACTTGCTGCACAATCCATTTAACTTTTTCGGTAAATGTATAAAAATAAAGTGAAAATTAAACGTCATCAGGATTATATCACCATTTCATGGCACCATCCTGTAATCATACATAGTTAAGAGATAGCCGCATGTTGCAAAACCCAATATTCAGCTAATTTTGAGCGGTTATGATCAGACTTACTTCTCCGGCAATAGCAACATGCGCTGCAGAACAAACAACCTGCAATATATGGCCGTGTCAGCTTTGACCTTTTGATAATGAACCCTGTGTTATACTCGAATCGATCCTTCATACAGTATAACATTACCTTGAAATATTATTCACATAAAGCAAGGAAAAACGTTTAAGCAGCCACCGTGGTCAAAATGTTAAAATAAGGTAATTCATGATTGGTTTGTCTGTTGTTCTATTGATTTTGCAAGTTGGCTTGTGGAAGTGGATGAAATCTATTACATCCTTGTCTGATTGCAATAACACCAATGGCGATTGGACATAATATGACCTGTGGAAGAAAACGAACTTACCGGTTTTAGTTTGTCACCGTGGGATTTCTTCATTTTGCCTTTAACAGTTATTCACAAATATCCCAATAAACCACAACGTTACACAGTTTATATCTTATATCTGCAAGCTAGTGCATCGACACAAGCAAACGCTCCGAAAAATGAGTTAATCCACTTCCCGTTGCCTTACATTAAATGGACACGAGAAACAAAAAATATTTTCAGATACACTCCATAGTTCTTCATCACACGCAGCCGTCGGACTAGAAATTTAACTCTTGAATTTGAACATCTGCCCAGTCTGCTTTAACCCAGAAAACGCTTGCATTAGAGTTAAGCTTCACGACCAGCTTATATTTTCAGTGAAGTGAACCCGTGGTGTTTATATCTTCAATAATTCTTGTCACGAAGAGCTAATATCATTCTACACGGCTTGGTGGTCTTTTCCTGTATGCCCTCACACCAGACCCTGGATATGATGAAAGGTACTTCACAGGAAAAGCAGAATTGTATCTAATTTAAAGGTAGAACATCGTTTCAGCGTGCAGTGCCCGCATATACTGAACCCAGGCTTCACTTCTCTTTCAACTGCATGAATCCGTTCCTCCAGACAGTTAGCGCATTTAACAATATAATCATCAACCCCCATCGGAGGTTTAGAGCGATAAACCAATCAAATGCATGTTGCATACGTCTCCGCGTTGTCGTTATTTATTCCATCGGAGCTTTTCCTGCCTTCATCTATACGACTTTTGTCTTTATACGTGGATGAATGATTTATTGAACCACCTGATTGTAATGAATAAATTATTCCATTATGACTCTTACAGAATGTTTTAATGGTGTGAAGCTCATATTAGAATTCGATCCATATGAGTATCTATACAGATTTGTTACTCGTTACGTTACCAAAAAAAGTCAGTTTTCAAAGAATGCTGGCTACAGCGGCAAACACTATGGATTAATACATCAGACCACGTTTAAGTTCATAAATGGGGATGGACAGATGGGCCAAGTGTTTTAAGTGCGGGTGCTTCATATAGATTCTGATATAGATACGGCTTTTTAAACATTGACTGAATAAAGATAATGAAGTAGATAAATGAATGCAATGTATATGAAATATAAGCACCAGTTTCTTACAAAACATAAAATTTCATAAGTTAAACAATAATTGGTATTCATTTCTCGAGCAGCAGAGAATAACCTGCCCCTTTATGGTCGTAAATTTGAATTTTATGTACTTATTATCGGCCCAGTCCGTAAAACACGGATAAAATGCACAAATATCTGTACCAATATAAATTTCAGGAGATAATGTAACGAAACTGTGGCAACCACTGGTGGCATTTGGTCGGGTTCAGCAGCAGTTATTTGACATAAATATTCGCTTATTATGCATCTTTAACTTGTTAAACTGAGGTCTTACCAGGTCCGAAATTTACGATGTTGTCTTGCACCTTTCATGGGGCTGCCTGTAGAGATTCTCTCCATATATTCTCGTGTTACCAATGTGAACCGTATGCAATAAGGAAGTTCCACAGACCGCAGGAATATCTACCACATAAGTACAAAGAATCTTTAGAGTATCTAAAGAATTGTTAATATGTATAGTTGTTCTATGTATCACGAGCTGAATAGAATGATGGGAAATTTGGAGAGAGAGAGAGGGGGGGGTTGTGTGTGCAATATAGATTAGAGCGATTGCACAATGATAAACGATTTAGTACCGTACCTAATTAGTTTGGCTTTTCAGCCTCAGTATATTCATCATGATAATAATTCTTTCCACGGCATAAGCGTTTAACGGAGATGTAGGCCTATTACCATCAAATGTCTACTTTTATTAAGTGCACTTTCTCAGAAACATTTAAGACGTGTTTGACCTGACTGGCCCTGCCAAACTCATCTACAGAGTACAACAGATATAAGACTTCTCCTCTCCGTTTGCAAAAGTTCTGAAATGAGCCAATATATCACTCTTTTAATCATAGTGAATCGATACCATTAGATGAAGTATGTTTTAACACTGCTACCAGTATATAGAGTGCCATGAATCTAAATTAGTTTTTTCACTCGATGCAAAGGGGTTTGCTAAGATATTCGAAACACCGATAACCAGTGTGGATGGCATAAACTTACAATAACTTATCAACCAAATGTATAATGTTAAATTTTACAACCTTGGCACATAACCATATACTTAATTGTCCCTGCAGCTTAATCTACTTAATTCGCCTTTTGCCAAACCCATCCATTCTTCCTTGATCCGGTGTTGCTACCCAATTATTTACAAGGCTCCCGTTGCTATGCCAGCCAATCTCTCAAATTGCTCAGTCCGCGTTGTTGGCAATCTATTGCATTCCTCTACTTATCCGACCATTCTTAAGCCTCATGGTTTCTTGCAATTGGCTTTGACATTGTTTCTATAGTCCAATACCCATTCGTCTTTCACCTCCCCACCAAAACCACCTAACTGCATTTCCAAATGGTACCTTGTAGACCTTGTTACCGTCCCGCCTATGCCCTATTTCTTTGTGATTTACCCACTCACGCCTTATTCTTGATTCACCTTGTCCACCTATGATAAAGTATTTCTGTAATATATGTTACCCACTTGACATAGGCTTTGGTCCCTTATTCATCCTTCAAAAGGATTGGTTCCCTAGACAACAATGACTGGCACCCTTCCAACCTATGCTGTGATGCCTAGTGTCCAATCATCCTACTGTAAATTTATTTCTGTTTTCATTTAGTACTCTTATCCCTAAATAAAAGTGTGCAAGCTAACGATATCTATAGGTATTGAATGACCATTGCTACTTGAACATGAATATGATATACGTCTGCTTTCTTCCTATGCCGGGTGCAATCTGCATGAATAGTGCCAAGTACTGATGATTGTGGTTCTATTTCCGACAAAAACCTATTATTTCAGACTAATATAAGAGTTTCAGAATTGACAACACGGTGTTATTGTTAAATAATTGCGTTGTGACACCAGTTAAAAGGTGTGCCGTTGTAATTTCATGACATCATTATTCTGCTGTATATACTAAAATGGCTATAAGACCGCAGGAAAAGCACTGATTTCTATGAAATTTTGAATTTAAATATGATGAATTATAATAAACACAGATGACCTCATACACAGCTTTTCAAGTCGTGTAATTTTATGTATCATTGATAATATTATTAATTTTATTGAGTCTGCCATACAAAACAAAGTATATTGGTATGCCCTCAAAATACTCGTTAATCTATCAGAATCCATATTAGTCACTGAAAATGGAGCTATACCCAATTGAAATAAGATACAATTATTTCCAAATTGTAGACGTGCAACCAAAATACGAAACCCCATCTTAACAACATTCCACCAGAAATTGTTAGCAACAACCCACCAGAAAATTCATCTCAGTCGGGGACGTTTGCGTGATACATGTTATGGAGAAGTATTTTCATTTGACTGGTCGGATTGATAATTTCTGTTTACTCTGCTTTCATATGGTAGGACGCCGTTTCTTAATAAAATCGTTTTGTGCATATAAGTACTTCAACGTGTTTATGGTTGTACACCAATGCTCCTTAATCCCTGTTGGATGGATATGAAATAAACATATTACTAAATCATCCCCTGCCGCAAGTCCCTGTGTAGTACGTACATATAATTACAACGACAGAAATACATATTTAATGCACCTCATACAATATGTTTTCTATGCAGTTTTTAAGAATGGATGCACTTGGCCGGAGTGCAAGATTTACAGCGAACGACAAGGTGTCAAAGTTAAAAGCTGTAACTCTTAACTACAACACCAATTAGCGAAATACTTTGGAGATTGAAGCAACTGACGATGTAAGGCATATTATTCCCTTGCAACCCGGTCGAAGTCAAGAGAAAAAGGTTTATGAAATAGGCTCTAGAGATAGACAGCGTCAAATACGAAGGGAAACTGCGCACACGCACCAGAGTTTAACAAAGGTTGATTTAGTTTATGCAAACGCCACCATAAGATACAAAGACTGCAAACTTCAATTTATGCTTTTACCAAGCAATGGAGCATCATTAAAGAAGAACGACCTGCAACACACAGCAGGGCTGCTGAATATTTCATATTCCCCTTGGGATACAACAACAAAATTAGCCGCAAGAAACTGGCAGGCACACGTATCAATATCCCATTTAGAAAACCGTTTCGTGTCTCTAGAGCCCACTAGTATTAATTGCCCCTCTCTTACAATAACATGAGCAAACGTTTGGTATTTAGTAGCCTGCATATTCCTTTTTTCAGGCCAGAGTAATATACACACACACACACACACAGACACACACACACACACACACACACACATGGCCTTCGGACCCAACAACCAAATTACATGCAGCACTACAAAATAGAATTTGGAAGTAATTTGATGGAATTTATTGCCAAAATACTTACTGTACAAAACAACAACAACTTATTTCAAATCAAACGCTATATACTCCTTTTTGTTAAGACATAACACTTGTTATTAACGTCAGAATTAGATTTCTGCATCAGGCCCGTAGCCAGGGGGGTTCGGGGGGTTCGNGGGGGGGTTCGGGGGGTTCGAAAGAACCGCCCCTTTTTGTCAGGAAAAGGTCCATTTTGGGTAAAATTTGATCTAGGTACACATAAGTTTCATTGCAAAAGGTCCACTTTTTCAGAAAAAGAACTTTTGAATTTGCTGGCCACGGGCCTGTGCATGATCATATCATTTACACTAATAGCCATTTAGCAATAAAGTATAACATACATACCATCATGATAGTTTAAACGCCTAATGCTATACGCATACATATATTCAAAATTTACTTAACTTGCCCGTGTGGATATTATGCAGCTAGGGGAGGTAATGCTTTGATACCTGGGATACACGTACGCTTGATTGATCATACTTTATTTCCTCGAACTGTGATTTGCAGTTTTTAATTTCCGCCTTGTGTGGTTACAGATTCAGTGAGGTCTGTTAAATTATTCCGTGTCTGATTGTTGATTTCGTCTACAATGTATCACCGATAATGAAAATTAATAAGAAGGCAAATGGAAGCTATTATATAATAGCATCTTCACAAGATTCATTATAGAGAGAAAAAGATGGCGCACAAGTAGCTTTTCTGTCACCCTACCATCTGTGATAACAATTAAAAGTATTAATCATTCGCTTTACTCGTTTCAAATTGTGTGTTTGGTTAAAATTTAGAGCAGACATGCCAAATTACTTATTGTCGGTGCACTAAAACACTGAGTGCGGTATTGAATGTACATCTGTATTCTTTCACATATAAGAGCTGATTGTGGATCCATCCTCCAAATAATTAGGTTAAACGCCAAGAAAATGATAAACATCTTGACTCTAAGATAATGTATTTACATAATCCCATATGCACTCAGCGATTAGAAATTTGTAAAAGTGCCATTCGGTTTAATGACGTCAATAAGAATACATTGCAATTTTAGAAATGTGCCCACCTTAATACATCAATATTGTCTCCATTAAAACGTTAATCAGAACCATTTTTGGAATGATAACAGAAAACCAGCACATCACAGTTGGGAGAAGTCGACTTATTGCTGGGCTGACAACCGGATGTAATATTGGAGTAAGGGGCCGTTCAGAATGAGTTTTGTCGACCTATAGCTAATGTGCACTAACCCCACGGAGACTCTCGCTGAATGCAATCAGATAAACAGATTAAAATCGGTTTATCTTATTACATTCAGC